CAACTCTGCTTGAATTCCATCCACAATCAAAGTAAGGCCCACCGGAATTGCAATATAACCGCAGTTCATCAGCGTGCAGTTCCACATCACTTCCACTGACCAGTTAGTTTTCGTGCTCTCGCAGCTCCTTGCCGACCACTCTTCCAATATCATGGAGCAACTGCCAGACGACGTGCTAGTGAGGACGATGAAGAAGTTCCTGGGCGTGGAGGATGTCATCGGCTGTCGCCTCGTGTGCAAGAGGTTCGCGGCCCTGGCCCTGCACCCTGACGTGTGGCGTGGTCGACAGATATACAGCATCTCCCACAGGAAGCACTTTGAGGCGGTGCTGCACCTCGCTCCATGTCTCAAGAGTTTCACTACCGATATGGCCCGGACGTTGATAACGACCAGGTGCGCCATCAAAAATCTGGGACTGAGGGTGGAGAAGGAGGACTTCAACGCCGCAGAACACGCCCTGGTGGTACGCAACCAGGAGGCCCTTGGGCGCCTGAGAAACCTGCACATCGCGTGCTACTCTGAAGTGACTGGTGGCGACGCGCTGTTGAGGACACTGGCGATGTGCTGTGGCCTTGAGACGCTCAAAATTAGTACATGTGTGCCCAGAACCCTTCGACCTGTTGTCCATGGGACACTCAGTGCGTCTCTCAGGAAATTCAATTGCGAACTTATCCCAAACTCGGCGTCCTTCGTGAACACAATACTAGCGGCGCATTCGTCCACACTCGAGGACGTTGATCTGGGGGTTGGCCCTGAGTCATGGTTTCTGAGTTACAACGAGTGGAACTCAGACGAGACGATGCGCCTCTTGGCTGGCATACCAAAGCTCAGGAGGCTGGTTTCCTCGGTGCTCCCTGGGCTGGAGAACGTAGCCGTGGCCGCTCGCGAGACGCTCCAGTCCTTGGTTTTTGCTTTTGTTGCCAAGGATCAACCTGCCGTCGCGGAGGCTGCAAGAGCGCTCCGAAAAGCTAACAAGTTGGACATGGTCTATTTGACATTTGTAGACGACGGCACAGACCACAGCCGTCCAGACTCTTGTGGGGAGGTGATAGAGGCCATAGCCTCGCCTTTCGTCGACTACCTGGGTCTTCGCAACCGCCCACCGATTGAGTCACTGGCCAGGAAGCTGGTGGGGCTGCCTGCCCTGAGCCTGCTGGGCATGTTTGACACGCCGCTAGATGACGAGCTTGACAAGCTCTTGCTGGCCATCACCCCCTACACAGCCCCGGCCTTGCGGAGACTGAGGCTAGAGGAAGAAGTTGGTGGCAATAAATGCACCCACGCCTGGATGCACCGGGACGCAGTCATTACAGCGCTCTCTGCAAACCCGCTGCTCCACATCCTGGTCGAGTTTAACAAGATGTGTAAGAAAGACGAGTGCCCGGTGTGCGCCTCGGGCTGCCACCAAGGAGAAGACCAAGTAGATTGGGAAGATAAGTGTGAACTCCACCTTTTCTCGCATGACCTCGGGAAGTGTCCTGTGCCAAAGGATCATGAATGGAACACTAACGAAATCAAAATGCCATGAAGTTCCGCTTGATTCTAGTTATTGCTCTCTCAAATGCTATAGTTGTAAAGGTGTAACATTAATTCGAAATAAATTTCCATGCGCTGAGTTCTGAAGGACCCGTTTTTAACCTTAACAAGTAGCCTGTGCATGGAGGTACTTTATGACCTACTGATCAAAATAGGACGTGGTGTCAAACTGCTACAAACCCCATTCCCCCCCCCCCTTTTCCCTGTCACTTCCCAGAGCGTAACTTCTAAACCAATACATCTAGAGAATTGCTTTTTTTCTTTTCGTAAAATCGTACTTGGGGCCGATGGTGCCCCACAAAACAAGCTCCAGCCCCCCCCCCTCCCCCCGAGGCCCCAAAAGGGCCCCAAAAGTTGGCGTTCTGTTGCTGCTTTTGGAATATTTTTGACATCGGTTCAAAATTGTTCCCTTCATTACCGAATCTTTCCACATCGACCAAATTGAGCCCCCCTCTGAGGGACCCGAGGGGCCACTCGTGGGGTGACGGCGCCCCTATGGGCCCCCCGGAGGGAGGCCCCTGGGGGGGGGGGGGCAAAACTCCTTACCAGCTGTATCTCCCGAACCGCTGCGGATTTCGGCGCCTTTCTTTCCCCATCACGTATATCTTGGAGTTTCCAGGGTTTCAAGCATGTGCTCATCATTTTTTTTGTCGTCGTGACCCAGGTGGGGCCCATAGGGTCCTGTTTGCCCTCCCTGCTAGGGCTGCCTTCCCTGCGAGAGGGAGGGGGGGGGGCGCCCTGCGTGGTAAACTTGAGGTATTGAGGTATGACGTCAGCTGCAACGACCGCTGCGGTGGTCTTCTCATGCGCACCCCCCCCCCTTTCCCCCTCTTTCTCTCTAGTGAGCCGCCCGGTCTGGCAACGAGGTATTTTCACAAGGTTCGGCGCATAACGTACAATCGAACCAGCAAAAGAATGCTTCTGGAAATGCACGGGCTCTTATCGGTATGGGCGGCTACGTAAGGCCCAGGCCCAGGAGCATTCTTTGGCTAGTCGGAGTGTAGTTCCTGCCACGTTGACTCAAAGCCGATTATTGAGGTCTACCCACGGACATTTCCACCACCTGGCAGTCACACCGCAAAGTTGAAGTTGGCGATTTTGGGAAATTTTAATCTCTGGATGGCGGCCGCCAGTAGCGCACACTAACGGGAAATCTGCCGCTGGTCGAGGAGCACGGTGTAGAGAGATATATCTCTCTACACCGTGTCGAGGAGACATCCCACGCACAACTTGTGCTGCACAAGGCTGGGCAGATCGGGCCGGGCTCGGAGCTCGGATGCGGATGCTGATACTGATCACTATCGTCTCGTCAGCAGAGCAGACCAGCCGTCGACGCCGAGTCAGTCGCGGTCCACCTCCATACTGTAGCGTGCACTGTGTCGCCTGGCCACCGCCGTCTCTCCCAGCGAAAGGTAAGTTCAATCCAACGTGTTTACGACTGTGATAGCCGTTGTGTGCCAAGAGTGAAATGGGGCGTGGCCGGAGTAGTAACCGCAGTGACTCTGCCCTTACAGAGAGCATGGAGGAGCTTCCGGACGACGTCTTGCTGGCGCTGCTGCAGTACGTGGACGTGAAGGACATCTTCGCGTGTCGCCTGGTGTGCAAGAGACTCTGCGGGCTCGTCCTGCACCCGGACGTGTGGCGGCCCCGCTGCATCGAGGTACGCACCGCTCGAGGCCCCGCCGCTGACGGCAAGGATGATTGCAGCTGGAAGTGCGCCGCCCTGCGCCTGGCGCCGTGCCTGGACAAGCTGAAGATCGGCGTCCG